TTTCGCAGACTTACTGTCATTTCCGGGAGACTTGCCGTAACACTTACTCAGAGTAACATCAGCTTCTGGCCAAACGAGGACACGGCTTGTAAACAGTCCAACAGCCATAGCTCATCTCTTCACCAAGCTCAACTGCTTTACTGCAGAAATCTGTCTATGTCATTTACAGCGAGATTATTCAAGGAGAATTCTGCTTGTGGTGTAAAGTAACACCTCTTGTTACTCACAAAATAACTGTGGAGACAATGTGCTTTTCGAACTAGGAATGTGCAAATTCTTTTCACTGTTGACTTAGGAAAATATCCTTTTCTTCCCCTCTGAATGAAATTGATATGATAAAAAAAATAGGTATATATAATAACAATACAAAGTAAATATTACTCCCAAATCATTCAATTTGAAGTCTTTCAAATGTTACCCTTTCCCTCACATCTCGACTCTGCTTTCTGCTCACCTGTCACCCGAAATAAAATTCTCCCCTACAAATAGAAAAACCCCAAGGAAACGGCCAGAAGTTCAAGAAGTCGCAGTATCCAGAAACCTGAGTCAGCTTGAGTCGTTGCAAGCTGCCTGATGTTCCTTCCCCCCCCCACCCTCCGCTGGAGGCTGATTGGAGATCAGGACTTCAAACACGGGGAGAAGGGTGTCGGGATACGGGCTAATGCAGCGGGGAAGCACTTTACAACATCTCTTCCTTTTGAAAAAAAAAAGAAATGTGCCGCAACAATTTCATGTACTTTGATTACAGTAGAAGCGTGTGTGTGTGTGCGTGTGTGTGTGTGTGTGTGTGTGTGTGAGTCTCGGTGGAGAAGGGCTCTAAAAGCGTTTGATTCACTGGATGACAGTAAGGCAAAAACAGAAATATAAGCTGCAGGCTGGTGTTGGTTCCTTGGACTGTATCAACTTTGATTTAATTAGCTGGTACTTATCGCATTCTTCGTTGGTGACGCATTGTGACTGACAGCTTGGGGTTACTCAAAGTACTCTGCTCTCCCGGCCGCTTCCAATCTGTCAATATGACATTTTATTCACTTCTGTCCATCCGTTTTCCGATCGCACTCGTTCTCAGTCGGGTCGCGGGTGAACTGGAGACTCAAGAGTCAAGAAAAAAAAATGTTTATTCACCTATTATTTAAGTGACTGTAATGAGGGGTTTGGTAACAAGAAAATGCTTACAGTATCACTCATTTATTTCCCAATGAGAATTTGAAATTTTGATTGCGATTTTAGGAAGAACCATGAAAGTTGCCATCTTTGATTTGCTTTCGCGGACCACATAAAATGATGTGGCGGGCCAGATCTGGCCCCCGGGCCTTGTGTTTGAGGGAGTATGTGAGAGTCCGAGCACTTCCAATATGATACAAAGTCAATCACATCCACAGTGGAACGATTTTCAAATGACTAGATTACTGACACTTATCAATAAAAATCAACACTTTTCTCATTGTAAGTGCAATGTTTTACTCGAGATACGCTGTCCTATTGGATCAAACCGTTAAGGTCTACCACAGTGGAGTACCAGAGATGTCTTTTACTATATATTATTTATTTACGATACTTCTTGTCACCCCTCCAGGGGAAAAGCATGACAGGAGAGACGTCAGAGCGAAGAGCCACGCAAAGAGTGCCGTACCTCGTGAGTTGGGGGATGGGTGGGGTTGGTGGCTTACTCAAGGGCACATTGACAGTTGTCAAGAAGCAGGCTAGCATCTGTCCAACTAGTTGCAATTTTTATGATGTGAAGCGGGACTTGGAACCCTCCCATTCCGAAATCCAAATCCTGACAGATCAACTTCCGCTGCCCAATGCAGACATACAGTTTACGCTAACAATATCGGTTTTCATAGCTTTGTTGTGTAGCTGTATCAGGTCCCAACAAAATCTATTTTAACCCATAAAGCCGATATATCGTGTGTTTATGAGCGAGAGACAAAATAAGTGAGTGCTGATGTTGGCATACCAGAGTGTTTGCTTGATGGATTGTCCTCAGGGGGTACGTACTTATTCATATTTTGACAAACAAGCTAATTCAGGGAGTCCAAACAGCCTCAAGTCTCTCTCAGCATTTCAAATCTAACATTGCTCAAGTTTTAGGTCCACCGCACATACCGGGAGAATGTTTTCACGAGGAGCACATTGCAAATCGAAAAGCTCTGTAACCTTTACGCGTTGTTTTGGTCTGGTGTGACGAAATAAATAGATATCTAAAAATAAATACGCAGGATTAAAGCGCTGAGCTCTATCTTGTGACCATCATGAGGATGAGGCCCATGAGTTCCCGCTCACTTGAATGCCAGGATAAATACACACTGACACACACGCACAGTGCCCAGATGTTCCTCAGCATTGCCTTGTGTGACTGCACCATCATTTGTTCTGCTATGGTGTTGACGTTTTTTTTTTTGTTTTTTTTTTCAAACCTTTAACACCGTCACATTTTCCACTTCTAATTTATGGGGAACCATCATAGAAGCACAAACGCGGAATAGAAATGTTCTTG